GGGCCAGCGAGCTAAACTTTAATACTTAATTGAATCAACATTAAAAGCTCATTATACATTTCCTAGCAGTGTGAAGTGGGCGGGCTAACAGTGTAGTGGGCTAGCAGTGTGAACTGAGCGGGCTGGCGGGCCAGCGGGCTATACTTTAATACTTAATTGAATCAACATGAAAACGTTATGAAACATTTCCTAGCAGTGTGAAGTGGGCGGGCTAACAGTGTAGCGGGCTAGCAGTGTAAAACGGGCGGGCTGGCGGGCCAGCGGGCTAAACTTTAATAATTAATTGAATCCACATTAAAACCTTATGATACATTTCCTAGCAGTGTGAAGTGGGCGGGCTGACAGTGTAGCGGGCTAGCAGTGTGAACCTGGCGGGCTGGCGGGTCAGCAGGCTAAACTTAAAAACTTAACTGATTGAACATGAAAACGTTACGATACATTACCTGGCAGTGTGAAGTGGGCGGGCTAACAGTGTAGCGGGCTAGCAGTGTTAAATGGGCGGGCCAGCGGGCTTAACTTTAATACTTAATTGAATCAACATTAAAAGCTCATGATACATTTCCTGGCAGTGTGAAGTGGGCGGACTGACAGTGTAGGGGCCATCGCTTTATGGTTTATCACAATTTGACATTCGTAATTAGATTTGTGAAGAAAGGGCAGGAAGTACAGAATATTGACCATTTCAGAAGCATACCTGGATCTTTTATGTGCCCGGTGTAAAGCACCGATACACGGGACCTCGGTGATTAAAGTCCCTTCTGAAAGACTGTTGGTAATGTTAGGGAGGAGCGGGGGATCGAACTCAAGACCCCTGGATTATATATATGTATTAACCACCAGACCACAGATCCGCTCCTAAATAAATCGCTAGATTCCTAGATGTCCTTATATTTATGGACAAGCTCCTGTCATTGTACGAAATATACAGCCATGTATGTAACTCTGGTGCATATTCTGCTTCACTACATGAGGTTCTACATTTGATTGCCCTACTAAAATCTTATGTTGCAGTGTGTGTTTTTTCTGTTTCAGTTAAGATTGTCGTTTTTTTCTGTATATAATACATGATTTGAATATCAATACTGATTTTAAAACATTTAGTGTACATATATGTGACAATTCTCAAGGATCGTGTATACCATATGACACAATCATTGTTAGCCCCCCGAGTTCACACTGCTAGCAAAATTTAATGCATCATAACGTTTTAGTGTTAAAATAATTAAGTATGGAATTTAGACCACTAGACTGCTAGCACGCTGAATTTGTACCGCTATCCCGCTACATTGTTAGCTCGCCGAACTTACACTGCTAGGAAATATATCATAAGGTTTTAATGTTTATTCAAGAAAGTATTAACGTTTAGCCCGCTGGCCCGCCAGCCCGTCTAGTTCACAATGCTAGCCCGCTACACTTTTAGCCCGCCCACTTCACATTGCCAGGAAATGTATCATAACGTTTTCATGTTGAATCAGTTAAGTTTTAGGGTTTAGCCCGCTGGCCCGCCAGCCCGCCCAGTTTACACTGCTAGCTCGCTACACTGTTAGCCCGCCCACTTCACACTGCTAGGAAATGTATCATGAAGTTTTAATGTGGATTCAATTAAGTATTAAAGTTTAGCCCGCTGGCCCGCCAGCCCGCCCAGTTCACACTGCTAGCCCGCTACACTGTTAGCCCGCCCACTTCACACTGCTAGGAAATGTATCATAACGTTTTCATGTTCATTCAATTAAGTATTCAAGTTTAACCCACTGGCCCGCCAGCCCGCCCAGTTCACACTGCTAGCCCGCTACACTGTTAGCCCGCCCACTTCACACTGCTAGAAAATGTTTCATAACGTTTTCATGTTGATTCAATTAAGTATTAAAGTTTAGCCCGCTGACCCGCCAGTCCGCTCAGTTCACACTGCTAGCCCTCTTCACTGTTAGCCCACCCACTTCACACTGCTAGGAAATGTATCATGAGGTTTTAATGTTGATTCAAATAAGTATTTAAGTTTATCCCGTTGTCCCGCCAGCCCGCCCAGTTCACACTGATAGCTCACTGCACTGTTAGCCCGCCCACTTCACACTGCCAGGTAATGTATCATAACGTTTTCATGTTGAATCAGTTAAGTTTTATGGTTTAGCCCGCGGGCCCCCCAGCCCGCCCACTTGACACTGCTAGTCCGCTACACTGTTAGCCCGCCCACTTCACACTGCTAGGAAATGTTTCATAACGTTTTCATGTTGATTCAATTATGTATTGAAGTTTAGCCCGCTGGCCCGCCAGCCCGCCCATTTCATACTGCTTGTCCGCTACACTGTTAGCCCGCCCACTTCACACAGCTAGGATATGTATCATAACGTTTTCATGTTGAATCAGTTAAGTTTTATAGTTTATCCCGCTGGCCAGCCATCCTGTCCATTTTACACTGCAAGACCGCTAGACTGCTAGCCCGCCCAGTGCACACTGTTAACCCGCTAGACTGCTAGTCCGCCCAGTTCACACTGTAAATCCGCTAGACTGCTAGCCCGCCCAGTTCACACTGTTAGCCCGCTAGACTGCTAGCCCGCTCAGTTCACGCTGTTAGCCCGCTAGACTGCTAGCCCGTTACCCCGCGTACTTCACGGCCAAACAAATTCAACGGAGACGCAAATAGTATAATATATATAAATAATATAACCCTGATCGATTACTTAAAGGAGTCAACTTGTATACTAAGATTTATCATAGTCACTTGTGCCAAGTCTTTTAGCCCTACTTATAATGGTGTTTGGAGCAAACGACAGTAATGTCTTAGTGTGGCCGTAAAACATAAACAAACAAATGAAAGCAAACGAGACAATTGACCATCAAACCCAATGTCTGATATCAATTGTCACGTGAAGATTACGCCTCACCCGACGATCGAAATAGCGGTCACTGGATACGTATCCAATGTTCTCTCTATTGAACTAAGCTGGCGGTCTAATAAAAAGTCTAATTAGTCAAACCCTGAAAATGAAGCTTTTCTATATTATAAAATAGAAGCTAATGTAATCGTGTTAAAACTGTCGGATGTGTATTATTACCATGGCGAATAAATGAAAAGTTGTATGACACTTCTGTTTAAGTTACTATAAAGGGAGGGAAAATACAAAAATAAATCTCTGAATTTATCTATGATTGTAAATATAAACCTTTATGTGTAAAATATCTTAAATTCATATCTTCACATATAATGTGAGCAGTTGAAACGTATGAAATTAAATGCGAGCAGTTGAAACCTATAAGTTAAAATGTGAGCAGTTGAAACGTATAAGTTTAAGTGTCTAAGAACGGAATTATCTCGTTCTTAAAGGGATACACAGGCAAAATTTTCATTTCTTCGTTTTGAATTTTTCATTCATTTATCTGTTAATGCCCTCAAATTGAATACACTAGGCAGTCACATGAACAAAACTTTTCTCCTGATAAAGAATACTATGATGGTTTCCTAACCTGACCCACGCGGGTCAGGTTAGAGTATTAAGATTTCACAATAATTGTCACAGTAATTATCTGGAAACGTTTAAAAACATGCCAAATGAAAGATTTAGGTTTGTGTCAGTCATACTACGTCCACAATATCTATTATTATAACTTCCACGGTTTGTTTAAGTCACATTACTAGTTTTAAAACTACTCGGTGATTCTGTCGGCGTCTAAATTTTGTTCAACATATATAGGTATTTTTACGCTTCAAACCCAAAATATATAGAATTTAATCAATTTATACAGAAATTCATGCTGGGACTTTTACAAATGTCATTTTAGCATGATTCGAGTACATAAGATAATTTTGATATTTTTGTCATAAATTTGCCTGAGTACCCTTTAAACTCGTTCTTTACTTTAGACGGACAAAAGTGAAGATTAGTTAATATCTTTTCATTTACCCTTTACTTCATGAGCATATTGTGAAAAATGGCCGTTTTCATTGAAAAGCCCCTGTTACAAGTTCAAACTGCTATGAAACTATGAAAAATGTTTCAATACTGATGAAACTTGGCACAAATGTTAACTGGACCATAACCCCTGTAACAACATGCTCAATCTTAAATTTCCTGTTACCATGGCAACGGGGGCACGTCTCAAATTTGCCAAAAATCATTATTTTGCATTGTTTTTTCCCCATCAAAACTGATTTCAAGGTGCTGCAACTTCTCAATGGATTGAGATAGAGTAAAAGACTTTTGAGCGTTGGTTACACGTTATCTTACGATCGACCTGAGGCCTTTTTTAGCTTGTCATTTTTGGCGATGAGGGCACCCCAGAAACAGAAGTGGGCAAATTCCCCTTCTGGCAACCCCTTGATGTACCTTTTTGATAGGGGCGGCGCCGAAAAAGTGATTACTTTTTTTATCAACATTTCTCAATACGAAAAACAGTGTTTGGGGCCTAAATAGGGCATTTTTTTCACTGTTTGAGGCCTCAAAAACGGGGAGGGGCGAAAAGCCGTCAAAACACGTCTATATAGGTAAAGGTTTAAATCAGAGCTGATATCACATAACATAGCATAGAATAACAGAAATAATATGTAAAGATATAATTATTGCCAAAATATGCTTCGTATGTACATATGTATTACAATTTTACTGTTGGGGCCTCAACAGAAGGTATGATTTAGTTGTACAATACTAATTAAAGATATGATGTCGCTTGTCAAAGCAATATAACATTTGCAATCAGACGAATCGCCAGGAAATTAGTATGTTATGGAATGAATAAGTTCTGTATTTTGGTCACACGTTGAAAATATAAAAAATGTTTAATCCAAGTAAAAAAAATAATAGTTTATTTATTTTCATTAAACACATTATCAGATAATAAATGGAAAATATGTCACGTGTAATCATGGAAGGTCTATGATGTAACAAAAATTAAGAGATAGAATATATCCTATCCTGTAAATCTAGTATTAGGTTGTGCGAATTCAAGAAAAGTACCGTCTGTTGAGGCTATTATACAGATACTTTCTTCTAACTTTGTTTCTATCATTGCGTATCTATTTACATGTTTAGTCTATGAATATGAAGTGCACAAGTATTCGCTGCTAGAAATTCTTATTTCTGTGTAGATCCGCTTTCTACACATACCTTGCATAATTTTTCCCAGAAACCACTTCAAGTACGCGTAATTATCATGTAAGACAGCTGTTACATAGACTACAAATAACTGTTTACTTTTGAACATACATACATACGGACTTATAAAATGTAAGCTATTTTAATCACTTTTCTTATATCATATACATCAAATACATTTTAGAAATAATTAATAGATTCATAATCATTTCAACTGTACATACATTTTTAAATTTTGCTCTGTTGTTTAGTTTTTTTTAAATCTTATCTTATCACTTATGTAATTGTTATATGTCTTCGGAATTATTATTTGTACTAAATCAATGTCTTTTTTGAATAACGTAACGTGTGAACTGTTATAATACGAGGGTTGTTCAAAAAGTAATAGGACTGCAGCTCTACTGTTCACATTTTTAAATTTACGTACACAATTTTACATGAGACAAATATCGGAACATGTTCTCTATATACAGTGAAAAAATCAAAACAAAATGTAAAGAAATAAAATTTCTGTGAAATTTTCAAGTGACAAGGGGTACGAAACGCGGCGCACGCTAACAATACAATAATTGACGTTCATGACGTCGTAAAATAAATCGAAATTGTAATAAGCGTCATTCTTTCTGAAAGTAGTCTCCTTTAGTCTCTAGTTGTATGAGTCATGTAACTTTTACTTTGCCTCATATGTGGAGATGAAGCAAGAAAAAAAAGCGATCACATTCTTGTTCCACTGTTTAAAAAAATAAAATAAAATAAATGCCCGATAGCCGGGCATTTTCCGGGTTTTCTCGTGTTTTTTGAGTAACCGTGGAACTCAATAGGACTGAAAATGTTAAAGTAAAAGCAATTTATTTTATTAATTTACTCATGTCATTGTGTTTAAAACAATATGATTATATACAGAATAATAAAGATATTTCTCAATTGAAAAGTATCCTTTTCTACTTAGCACAGTCTATCGTTTATTAAAACAAGTTTTCGGCAAACACTACTAATTACTAATTATTTCCGTTAACTATTACATTAATTTATTGATTACACGTATATCTAGTTAAATACAATAAAATAGTGTTTATAACAAATGTCTTATATTTATAATCCTTTGGTTAAAACTGAATAAGTAGACCCGAAGCAGATAAAAACAACGATAAACAATTCGCGTACCGATTACCGTGAATTCTTTTGTAGCGCTTTTGCAATTGACGTCACTAACGTCCCGTCAATTTTCAACTTTCATCCTCACCCTTTCTCGTTATTGATCTTGTCTTTTCAGGTTTTTAATTGCTTGTGCAAGCTGAAAACAAGTGTCTTGATGGCAGGATAATTGTCCTTTGTTTATTTAATCATTTTGTGTGTATCTGAATGATTATAGTCAATCTGTTGGCAAAATTTAACGATGGCACACATTTTCTGTTTGTTAACAAATGTCATATTTCTACATCTAACGCTATGACAGCTATTGTTCAAAACTTAATAAATAGGCCATTTCATGTCCGAATGACGTCAAATTTGGACATAATGTCGCATTAATATATTTCAACGTATTGATGGAATACAAGGGAAAACAAATAGTTATTTATGAATAAATTAGAAGTAGAACATAGCTCCAACAACTATATTTATGTGCTGCGCCGGGTGCGTGTTACCATGGTTATTCAATAGCAAAGGAAAAGCGCGTTTAGCACAATAGATCAAAAAACTTATGTTTGATTTGTAGAAAACATTTTGCGATTGCTGTACATATGACAATATTCTAAATTGAATGATTTTTAAATACGCAAGACTCCCAGTCCTATTACTTTTCGAACAACCCTCGTATAAGCATTATGCGCATAATAACTGTATTCTTTTTATTGTTTTCTTTTCATTTGAAAATTAAAACAGGACATAGTTAAAAGTAACATCATTGTGTCTCATGTTAAGCGTATCACAAAGTGTAGAAACTGTCAAATGATAAGATGGAATTCTGATGATGTGCCGTGTTTCATACAACTGATAACTGTTACATAAGGCAAAGTTATCAGAGCGTCTTTGTGTTTTCATGAGATTTATCAAAATTCCATATCTTTGAACACAGTTAATACACGTTTATCAGCTATATCTAGTAACAGAATGATTTAACAAGGATAAATTTACATTACAAAATTTTAAATTCTCAAAGAATAGAGAAGTAGTCTGCCTTGCTAAAATTTAAATATCTTTTAAAGATCTGGTGCTGTGAAGAAGAGGAACATCTACCAGTTTACAAACATGTTTGACAGAAAGGGCACAAAAGTGGTAGTAATTGGACTTCTGATTCTGTTCGTGATCCTAACTGAATTCACGCAAATAGGCGGGCAACAATTATGTACTCCAAGGGGATCTGGCTGTAGGGTGAGAAGAAATCGTTATGGAAGAAGTTTGTGCAGAATAAGAGGAGAGGAGCGTGGAATCGAAAAAAGATGTTTTCGGGTAGGCCGCGAATGCAGATGTGACATTGTTGGCAATAAACCAGGCGCCACATACAGCCCACATGAATGAAACAACAACGGATAATAAGATCATCATTATATGAATGATATGTATGCTTATGACATTTTGATTATGTGGAATTAACATTTGTTCATATACAGTGAAGTTAGCAACTTTACATTTGTCAACTGTAATTACATGTAGCTAACTTTAAAACACTTTATTTTATAGGATTATTATAAAAGAGATATATATCTTGTTCCGTGTGAAGCTTAATACTGTATAGTAGCTATAATGGTTGGATGCATAAGTTATGCTTTATTTAAAGAATTACAAGTCTCGATTTAATTGAAATTATTCATTTTTTATCATTTTCAAGTCAAGCTGAATGACTTTAATGTTTCAAAAGATTGGCTGTTATAATGGCGACAGACCAACAGTTGATATTTGAAATTACTTTGGATAAAATATAAATCTGCCTAAATCATAGAAATACTGGCCCACTCTTTAAAATGAATGTTACAGGTTAATTGCGGTGGATATTTACAGGAATTCCTTTTGGCCATGTGTGTATCTATCGTTTAATTAATGCTAATTAAATGATAAAACAAAGACGAATTATGGCAAAATGTACACTTATTTTAAATTTAACCTGTTCACTCTTTAAACATCTTGGATAGGCATCATGTCACTTTAATGTGTTAGTGTCTTCATTTACTTCTAGACCTGACACTATTAAATGTTATATCACTTTTAAAGCATAAAAGTGAACTCATCTTTCTTAATAAAATGAAATAAAATATGTTATACATTGTATTCTACTTATTCTAACAGGATGTGAAGTACTTTAGTACAAGGACAAAATACTCGGGCCATTTAACTTTAGATATCATAATATAACAAGAAGAAAATATGCATCATGTTTCTGTGTAATCTCACTTAGCACAAATATGTGACATTATACTTGTCTTGAACTTAATTAAGTAGGTCTACTTAAATGAAACAAAAATAAGGTTCTCATTTTTACACAAACTTGTCTAAGCCTTTGAACTTATAAAATATTTACGATTTCATCATACGTTATTTTTGTAAACATTGTTTTTTTAATATAGTTACCAACGTCCCCCGCCTCGGGAAATTTTATATGAAGCATAAAATTGAGGTATTTCAAAAGATTGAGGTATGGATCTCAGGACATTCAGTCTAAAATTACGATCAATGCTAGATCTGCATATGCAACAATAAATTTATTAAAGAAATAAAATAAAACACGAAATTAAAAAATCTATCATGTTAAGCTTTGACCTCTAAGTGTAGCCTTGACCTTGGAGGTAGGGGTGCAGGTGTTGTGCATGACATAACGACTTATTATTGTGACTATTTGTGCCAAGTATTTTCAAAATACCTTGAACTATGAAGAAGTTATAGATCCGACACAAAATATACCCTATAACAGACTATGTAAATCTTTAACCTCTAAGTATGACATTCAATTAAATCGAGAACAGCATGGATCCTGATCAGACTGCGCGGATGCGCAGGCTGGTCTGGATCCATGCTGGTCGCAAACGCATTATGTTGGTTTTGTCATAGCGCGGCTCAAACTCATCCGATATCTACGTCCGTCTCCTAGTTAATAATCACGTGTATCATCAGTTGTAAACAACAAGAGTAGCAGAAGCGTTAGCAGTTACATAGATAACAACAAAATGATAAGGGGACGTCACATTTCAATTATTCATTAAGGATGTTTTGATATTATAGAATAACAAATTAAGAGCAATTTAAGTTTTGATAGAATTTAATCAATTTCAAAAGAATGTAAACATTTTTGTAGGTTTCATGTCTCGACATACACAAATGTTAAATAAAAAGACGATGTGAGATTATGCTCGATTACTAATATTATATTACAATAATTATGAGAGCAGCACTAGATTCAATATCCCTGAATTGTCGAGGAGTAGTTTTGTCTTGCCCTAGGATTGAACCAGCGACCGTTGTACTACAAACACTATTGTGCTAAGCGGACGGACACATGTTTTATTAATTAATTATCGCAACCACTTAATATGGTTGAATGTTGTTAAACCCTACTAACATCAGACTGTCCATTCATACAATAATTATTGCCCCTTCAAGACTGAGCATCAAGTAAGGGAACTTTCTGAGATAATGTACTGTTTTTATCATAAAGGTAGTTAATTTGACCTGAAGTATCAATTCACGCTAAGCATTGATGCACTTAGTGTATTTTGGCTTTCCACAACGTATCAATTATATACTGAAGTCAATTTGAACATGTCCATAGAATATTTTTTAAACATAACATTTAAATTTTTATTGCAAAGTCATTTTCTACATGTTACGATATCAATTTGCTATTTTAATTTTTTTTAAAAATGTCAAATTTCATTCCGAAGTTAAAAGTTGTATACAAACAACTCTGAATTATAAATTGCCAAATTGTTCATATTTTCAAAACTTGTTTTTAATACCTGTGTACCTGAAGTCAAGGATTCACATTATATAGTAATTTACTACATGTATTTCTATCAAAAACAATATACTGTTTGTTTCTAAAATATTTTCATACGTTATCATTCAATCACCATATGTTTATTCACCTCCAGATTTCCGTGTACTTTATGCGGTAAAACAATCTGCCGTGTATTCAGAGTTTTTAGCTATGTTTTAATCTGTTCTTTTCTCAAGAAAATAGGATATGAAGTGTTTTGCCAAAAGTAGATTTATAAGTAGATACATTTTTGACATTCTTTTACTTCCCGAAGAAATTACTACTTACAATATAAAAATAAGGTTATCCTTGTTATAAACACTTTGCGTAGCCACTATTCGGAGATTTACTGACTTAAAATGTAAGTAATTACAATTTTCTTATATATTTTTAGTAGATTACATGTAAATTATACAGTTTTAGACTCAGTTCATTATCTTTCTACATATGATACTTTATAACCTTGGTATAATCTAAAACTGATGTCCTGGTCATAAAATTCATGATGAAAATAGTTAAAAACTGGATTTATTGAATGATTGATTGACTGATTGATTGATTGAATGTCCATCACTTAATATACTCAATATACATTTTCAACCGAAATGAAACAGATGTCGGGCAATCTTATTTCAATAACGCGCATGTGGTATCTATGTAGTTAAGAATGGCATTAATTTTGTTCCAAATATATAACATTCTCAGCTAATATTTGATTAGAAGATTTAAAGTAAGGTTTATGTAACTGTACACTCAATTCTTGCTTAAATTCACAGATAAAGCGGTAAAGGAAAACGATTATTCAAAGACAGTCTCTTCAAGCTGACGAGCATGTTCGGTTATCGTAAAAACGACGCTAAAACTATCATCATTGGCCTTCTGATTTCGCTCGTGATTTTAAGTGAGATCACAGAAACAGACACGCAACAGCTATGTTCTCCATGGCGATCTGGCTGCAGGGCCAGAAGGAATAGCCAAGGCAGAAGTTTGTGCGCAATCAGTGGGGAGACAGAAGGAATCATTAAAAGATGTTTCCGGATTGGTCGAAGCTGCAGATGCCAATGGGATTATGGCATATTGCATCAAAAAGCTATTGATGACTTTGTCGAGTTTAATCTTTAAATGCAAATATAGGAACACAGTTTTTTGTTTAAATGCAACTGTAACTGTAAGCATTCAAACTATGAAAAAAATATATAATGTAACAAAAATGTTCATGTATTCTTATTTCAAATGGTCTATCTTCTAACCTTTGCAAATAAATTGAATATTAGTTCTACACTTCTGGTTTTTTATCTATTATTATTTTCTTACAATAAGATAAATCGGAAAATCAGTTTTACCCAGATTTGTGTTTCGTTTTGTGTACATACAAGGTGCGTATGATATTGTTTTTGTTTCCGTTAGCTAACAGATAAATGTCCGAAAGAATATATGGTTACACATTTATAATTGTACCGTCTTACGTATAAAACATGTCTTGAAAGCCATTGACTTTGATATGCATGCGCTGGTGTATCAGGTTTTTACCTTTCAGAGAGCAGCTCTTATAATTATTTTTACAGTACACTTCCTGTAACATTTAAAAAATCTGAAACAAATCATGGGGTAAATATGAATAGGCGAAAATTGGCAGTTCTTTCCCATTGTCCCTTATAAACTATTTACTTCAAATACTTAATACTTTAACAAATTTCATATGCAGAAAGGGAAGTAAGTCCAAATCAATTGTATATATAAACCTTGTGGATGTACTTCTCTTGTTATGAAAGACATACTAGTTTCGATACGTATTGAAATATAAGAAATTCTGTGTACATGGAATCGACATAGGTATATAGGTCCGATATGTCATGTATATGTGTTTCCATGCAAAAGTTTTACTAAAAACACATTTTCAAATAAGAATGCATTTTCATTAAAACATTCATTTACATATTAATTCAACATGATAAAATTTAAGAAAGCCGGCTCATGAAATGATAGATTGAATTTTATCATATTTCGCGGAAATGATTTCAATATTTCACCTTAACAAACCTATTTCTCTGAATACTAGAATAATTGTTAAATTGACATTAGATAAAATAAGAAAACCGAAGGAATCTACAGTTACTTTTCTGTAAACTGTCCAGTGTTAATAGTATGTAAGAATAAAACAATTAAACATCGTCATTGAAATAATAAAAATATGTGCTATAGGTATTCCTGATCCTGGGAAAGTGTAAAAATCTCTAACAACCTGATATGTAAATGTCATGGCTCATCAGTATTTTCTCTTAATGTTTGTAATTTGGTTGAACTAATTTTCAGAGAATCTAGATCCCATTTCAATCTATTTGCTTAATGGTTGCGAGTTAATCTGTGTTACTTGTAACATCGTTTAAGTATTGAACAAAGTATTTTGTTCGGAATTCCATTGAATTCATAAGCCAAACTTATGTACTCAGGCACATTAATTCTTGACATTTTATTAAAATGAAATGAAATATGTCATGTACATGAAAATGTCACTAGCTTATCCGAAATATTCATGTCCATACAAATATTGCACTCGTAAAACAGTTTTTAGAGGGATATAACTATTTCCCAGTTTCTAGTAAAAACAATTTACATCTGTGTACTTGTTTCTTTTGGTTCATTTACTATTGCATATCAGTTGCATTTTTCCTCGACGCCGCCGAAAAAATAATTATTTCCCTGATTAAATTAAATGCTTACTGTAAACCACCGATACATTTGACCTCGGTATTTTAAGTTGTTGGACGAGGGAGTCGTACCTACAACACCTGGATTACTTGTATATAGCGTTACCACAGGATTTGATCGTTTTTGCATCCAAATTTATATTTCGTAGTTTATGCGTATGAATCAACAAAATTTGATGATTTGAACAAATAATATTTATATCATATACCGCAATGACTTTAATTATTGTACAAATTCTATTTAAGTTTTTGAATTAAAGTTAAACTTTCACATGCATGATCGCCTCGTGCTTTTGCTAAAAATCGTCGAATTTAACCGGTATGACTAGACAAGATAATTAATCTTCTTTTAGTTAAATGTCAATCAATTATCAGCATAATAAAATGTAAATTATTTTCTTGCATGTCATGATTTTCAAAATTTGGAAACTTTTGGATTCTGCAGTTGTGTTGAAGTTGCCGTGGACATGACATTGTGTTTTATTGTTACATGTATTATAAGTATAATTGAACGTTTGTCCTATCGGCTTGAAATTGAAGTAAAAAACTACGAAGACAAAGTAGTTTTTAAATAGCTGTCATTATCCAGAAGGCGGAACATGATTCACAGTCGTTAACATGAATAGATAGAAATACATGTATATTTAAATTCAAGTTATATGGCTACATTATGATGCCATAATGTCTTAACATATAATATCAGTTACAATTAAAGTTAGTATTAAAAGAAGGTGAAGTGTAAATGTCATATATTATAAACACAAAATGAGAGCATGGTTTCGTAGTTCAATTCTTCTTTTTTTGGGCCCAATAAATGTACGTGGGTGGATATATTCGTGCAAATTTCGCCTAAATCCTAAGCCTACAATCGCACCTCTGTATCCTTACCAATATGGATTGTAATTTTTTTTAAACAATATTGATAAACATTTACCATTTAGAGTTATATCTTAAATCCAACATCACTGTTTTTCTTTTAATTATTGAATTGCAAAATGCCACAGTTTTAAAAAATCATTTGACTGTATGCCTATTGGTATGTGTATTAAATAGGAATGATTTTTTTTCAATAGCAAAACTATAAAAGTTAAATCAATAAATAATAATAATAAAAAAGAAAATCAGGAACGTACATAATATTATATATCATTATGTTGAATTGAACTTAATTGCTATCTTTATGTATGCGAATGATATCATATTCTCAAGGATACTTTGATAGCAAATATTTTAAGTGAAATAGAAAAGAGTAAAACAGAATCCCTAAAGACCACTAAAAACGACAAAATTGAAAATGTTGCAGGAGCCTGTTCTTTGACGGACACCATACAAAAACGCAAGTAACCACACATGCATTCACTACAGTCTTGGCACAATTCATATTAGACATGAAAATTGTGACATTTTAAATTAAGAAACATTTGCAGATGTGTTTATACGGCGGTTTTTGTGACTAGATGTGATTTCATGAAAAGCGGCGTATGGTTCCAAAATAAAGGAATGCATGTGCCCTTAACCAGAAAACAATGAGCTAAATTAACTAGAGTGTTTTGAAAGGGGGTTGGAGGTTATGGAGCCTTCATATCACAAACACAAGGTATCAAAAGATATTTCTTTTGAAAGCAGTTACCATATCCTAAGGGTAATTAAACAGTTTTCAAGTAGAAATAATGAACTAATGAAGTACAAATAGAAGGAACTAAAGATATCACAAACATGAGCAAACAGCATTAATGTCGTTCCGCTGATTGATTTTCAAGGATCGAAAATATAACATCTTTAATTATATATACATTTACACTATTAAACAAACACAAGTGACATATCATATAATCGAAACCATTAATTGCTACAATACACACAATCTTATTTGACATTGCCTTGCTCTCTTCAGCTCGATTAAAACAAAATTGCTGTAAAATAAACTTAAGGATTCATAAAATTAACCAAGAAATTAAAAAAATTGTTTTTTAGTATTATTGTATCAATGTTATGAACAATTTATTTTCTAAGAGTGATTAAGGATTTTACATTTTTTTTCATAAACTGTGACGAAGACCGATGGTGACATTTTAACTTCTTGAGTTCTGACATAATAAATTTATTGCTCCGCGCCCACAGGCGCGGAGCTATTTGTGTTTACTTTTTTTTGTCCATGGGCCCGGATTTCATCAATTAATTCTTTCGATTTACAGCTAAAAATAAAATCGGATTTAATAACTCCTTTCGATTATTATATTGGTTCCCTCTTCGGTGTTTCGCAGCGTGTCATATTAATTGATGAAAACCGGAAAGCAGTTCTGCTGTACATGAATTCGAAAAGCTATAAATAGCTATTAATGTTCTGATTTTTGACACTTAGTAATAAATTTGTTATTTCCCTTTTTTAGTAGTACATGAAATTATAATTTTTTACATTTTGAATTACACTTACACACAGCATATCAAGTATACTGTTAGTGATTGAATTTGTCAATATAAAGAAGATTTCAGGCATAAGACTTTAATAATTTTGCTTTTGATAATTATTCTTAATTTATATTTATGAAACTAATTGTTTAATAATAACATGTTGATATATTGGTTGTTTTGAAATAATTGTAACTCTAGTATATAAGGTTACATTTCTGTGGTAACATTGGTAATGCACGCCATGCCATGCAGCGAAAGCTGCATTTGTGCCCGTACGGGCGGAAGGACCCTCATTCAGCATAGACTATAGATAGATAAATCAGAAACTTCGATATGCAGTTTCAACGTGAGGTGTATTGTTTTTTATGAATGGTTTTATTCCCAATAAATCAATTAACAATAGCTTTTTATATATCACCAATGTCAAGTAGCTTTTATATCTGACTCGCATAGTGAATTTCCTCACAACTGCCTAAAATTCAGGTAACAGTCTTCTATCAGTATTGAAAGAAACCATTTTTTTTTTAATTTGACATAAAAAATGCATGTAATATTACTATATTATAATATAAGTCCCTTTTGTTACTATTTGTATATTTGTTACAATTATAATAATAATAAAAACAGACTTTTATATTTTTATCATCTTATGTTACTGACTACAGTAGTGACACAAACAGAACACAGTACAGTCATGTCACATAACATTTACAAGTCTTGTAAGTCTTGTTTGTATTCAATGGAATTACTTTCCTTACCAGGTAGGCATCAGTGAAAGCATTTTTTCAAATTAAATATCTGGCCCCTCTTTTTAATTATGGACAGTGTATAAGATGAATATAATTATGCAAAAAATGGTTTACAAAACATTCGGAAAAAATCTACAATAGTACTTAATCTGAATATAACATGACCTGTGCGTAGGAATAATTTGGTCATGTGCGTAGGATTAATTTGGTAAGATATCTGTAATGAGCGAATTTTTGCGCGGAGCTTCTCAATTGCTGCATTGCAGCGACATTTGTACTTGTTTCTTGTAGGATTTGGCAGATACAGTTTTCAAAGTAAACGCTTGCTGTTAATCTACGTTTCTATACATGAATAAGTTAAAAAGTTTATCCATTATACGTATATAGAAAAGCACTTTAAATTGTCTCAC